AGCTGCTTTCCAAATTCTTTCAGCTTGACCAACTTGCTCCTCAACACTTTAAATTCTGTTTACTGATATTCGCTGTGGTGATAGTTAATGCCGTTGCAACATTCACTGTTGAGGTAAAAAAATGCATCCATTCAGTTAAATTTGCCTAATCAATGAGCACATGAGAATGTAATAGTAAAACACAATGTAAACAAAAAAAGATCAGATTTAACTAGAAGGTGGTGTGTGGTTGGATAGTGAAAGCGCCTGCCATCCAATTCCAAGGTCGTTGGTCCAATCCCTGGAATATTAGGAATTTTCTCATAACCAAAACAACAAATTTAATCTTTTTCTTCCCTATATTTTTATGTTATTTTGTATTTTTTATTGTATTGTTGTTGGCCAGGTGTTTAGAGATGACCACTTCTGGTGTTGGGCTTTAGCCCATGTCATCTAGTCACGCCCTTGGTCTATATATATTTATACTGTATATATCGTGACAAATTTTTAATAAATGAATAAATATAGGATTAGTGTGTTATTTGTTTGCTTATTGGTGAAGATATAATTTAAAAATCCTCAGTTGAACCCTGGTACTTTTCATAAATATATAAATCAAACAATTCAATACTTAATTTGATTTTTTTAAGCCTGAATGTTTCTTATCAATGTGTATCTACTTTCTGATTTTCCTGATATAATACATTATCTGTTTATCTTTTGTAGTGCATCGTTGATAAAGAATACTTCAAAAACTTTATCAAGCCTTGTCGAAGAAAAAAGAAGCCAAAAAATCTTTACAAACTAATCGAAAAAGAAATTCAAGAAGACAAGGACTGGCCACCAATTAAGCAAGTGTTCACATCTAACGGAATTCGCTGTTGATTATCCAAAGACGGGCAGAATTTAGATTTTTATTTTTTTAATATTTAATATATAATAATCATGAAACTTAAGGTATTCATAAGTGTTAGGGAATTGTTATACAATTGTATGTTTGTGTTTATCATGACAAGTTGGATAAATTTAAATATCATCAATATTTATTTGCCATTCTTAAAAAACATATTGTAGAAAAAAGAGGAGGCAATAAACACAAACAAATGTCTGCACTCGCTTTCCCCAAGGAATTAGAGCATAGCCAACACACTTATAAGACAAATACAGTTGATATTACAAAGAGTGAATATAAGTTTTACTGATGGTGGTTCTTGTAACCAGGATATCATATAATACAGTAGCATGTATATGACTACATGTTAAATTCTGAAAGAAACACCTCCTGCAACCAACCCACCAAAACAATCAAATTGTTTATATTTAAAAACTAAGGATTCCAATGGAGAAAAGACATTAATAGTTGCTCTGAAAATTGCCATAAAGTATTAATATGGAAAAGGAATCTATGAGATGAAATGCATAGAATCAAAGCAAAAAGGATAGTCTTCCAAAAGTATCAATAAATGTTGTTTGTTAGTATTCAGTCAGTTGCTAATGTATATACAGTGAAAAATCTATTAGTGAGAAATTGATATAAATACATTTCCTTATTTTATATATGATATACCA